GAATAACGAATTCGTTCCATAATTTGGCCGCTCACTGAATATATATCTGCATTCTGTTGGTCTAATCTTTATTATTCATAGTCACATACTCTTGTAGAAAGAGTTGAGTTAATGAATTCTATGCTAATAGATTGAAAAAGTATGATTAAATGCCGCTGATTTTGAAAAATATTCGGCAGAACAAATGTTGGCCTCATTCCTTCAATGAAAAATCAATAATTGTTGACAATAATGCACTTTTTCACTACTAGTACTCAACCCTCTATTAATTCGCATTCCGAATAACGTCTTCTCATTATTATCCAACCCTGAGAGTCAACTAATCCCTGTCTTGTCTTCCCGTTCGCCATTATATCTTGATTTATCTCTCCGATCGCGGAATTGGTGCTTTATTCAACCACCCGACTTGAAATCAGTGATTTATACGATATCGGTAATGCGATGCAAATTTATGGTGAATGAGACGGTAAAGAACTAACACAAGGACATACACGTCTTGCACAACCTACTCGCCATATGGCTAAAGGCCGTGCAACAGGTTCCAATATTCCTACTCGTGGTTTATTTGTTCGACTTGGACACTTGTTCGCCGACTAGATTCACTAATTTTTCTTTGTCGTTTCTATAAGGTGCATGTGTCGAAACTTGGTTCACTGAATACTCACAGTCCCAATACGAAATGGCCGCATGCACTTTAATGAAAATAATACTTTTGTCGATTACTATTGAAAAAACGTCAATTATGTGATCATTTCCTTTTGGACGAAAAGACCAAATCATCCATAAATTACACCTTCAAACAAATCGCATTTGACCAAATTCATAACTCATTACGATCGACGCCAATCAGAGATGATCAAATTCATGATTTCATATTTCTGTTTCGATTATTTTCAATCGCAAATGAGCCTTGTGAATTCATCTAATCCAAAATATACAGGGTTCAGTACGATTACTATCGGTTAGCGGCATTTTGGGAAATAATAGGATGCGTATCCTGAAAATTGGCAAATCTAGTTTTCTAAAATGCTACATCGGCATTTTTCCAATGCCTTCGGTTATAGCGGTAGTTGGTACCAACTTCCTCAATTCAAATGTAACACCCTGTATATTTTCACTTTTTTAATACTTGGCTTGATTCTAATATGATTTTATTAATAATATTCGGATACTATTAATATTGGCATATATGAGCTTCGTCACATCTTTTTATATATTTTCGGATTGGCCGGTGCTTTGAAAGCCGTTGATGATGTATCAAGGTCTTTCGAGGCTGTTGGTTGGTATATCTGAGGATGTATCACAAAGTGTGGATAATTCATAAAGATCACATTTTTATTGATGCCGTTTGACGATCTTCCGGCACAATGTGTCTTACTCTCCATTCTATATTATTGATTTCCAAACCTGCATTGACTTACCAATGAAGAAATTTTTGAATGAGCGTGCAATAATCAAAATGATCTCTTGCTTAACATTCAATATCCGCTTATTGTAATCTTCAGCAAAACCAATGAGATACTTCACGGGCAAGGCCGTAGCCAGGTGGGGTTCAAGGGGGATTGACCCCCCTCCAGAAAGTTCTATAAGCAACGGCCATCCAAAAATTATATCAAACGATTGGCTTGTTTGAACATCACAGGAGCCATGATAATAACACCAACCGCGGCGATGGAATTAATTACTGGTCTGTTCCCTCTGGACCTGTACGTTAAGGAGGTTGCGTTAATGGCCATGTTACGGTTGCACACGTCTGGTGTAAACCTCGAATTAGGAATGGGTAAATTGAGGCTGGGCCTATGGCGAGAAGCGCTCACTGCGCAACCTCTGCTGCAAGCAACCAGTGATGCAATTGTACCCAGGTTTGTGTTTGATAAACCCTACAAAATACAAATAAAACAGAACACAGAGTCAGATGCTACAGATGCAATACGCATATATACAGACGGCTCAAAAACCAAAGAAGACTCAGGAGATGGAGTGTACTCCAGATCACTAAGCTTAAGGATTAGGTGGGGAATGGGAAAAAATACCAGCGTGGTTCAAACAGAACTGGCTGGTATCTTACATGCTACAAAAGAAATAACCACGAAAGGAATTTCTGGCAAAAAAATAACAATTTGCACTGATAGCAGGCAAGCCCTATTAGCCTAGAACAGACAGCGTGTTACCTCAGACCTAGTACTAGAGTGCCACCAAGATTTAGTCAAAGCCTTGGTAGATAATAACATCCTGGGGTAGATTAAAGGGCACGACAGGAGTGAGGTAATCGCATTGCCGACTCTTCAGCCAAGGAAGCGGCTGGACTAAGAATTTTAGGACCCAGTGGCACCTACGGCCTGATGACTTCGACAAATGAGGAACTAGCCAAACGTTACATCCATGCTCAATCCCTAAAGAGATGGGATGGAATCAAAGGAGGCAATCTTGCCAGGATCACCCTGGGCAACCCTGGAAAGCTGGCGCCGAAAAATATCTAGCGATGACCAAGAAAAATCTACGCTTGACAGTAGGATTTCTGACTGGCCACTGTCAACTAAGAAAACACCTCCATAATATGGGGCTAGTGGACACACCTCTATGCAGGATATGTGAACAGGAAGGTGAAACTGTCAGGAATTTCCTATGCGAGTGTCCGGAGTTATCGTCAATAAGAGAGTATGTATTCGGCGAGTCTTGGCCTACACCCGCCGATATAAAAGAGATGTCTCTTAGTGACCTGTCCACCTTCCTGGAAAGGACAGGATCAACAATGATCTGGTAGGACAACTCCTTGGGAGGATGTACAATGGGTCACATTCGGCATATGTACTGTGGGCCTACACGCACCCTTCCTACTCTACAGATACAGATACTATTGGAATTATAAAATCCGTTAGAAATGTTATCAAGTCCTTAAGAAAACAAACCAAGTGCTTGAAAGAGAATATCGAAAAAAACTTCCCCGAAATACAATGGAAAAACCTTACGGCAATGTGCGTACAAATTTTCAAAGATCTTGGCGACACTACCTGTTTTTACATGTACCCCTGAAATGACTTTCTCTTGTCTGAAACGCCACAAAACTTATTAATGAAAGTTCACAAGCCTGGAGCGACTAAACGGTTTGGCATTAATGTCAATCCACCGTTGAATCGACATCGACACCGAGGAGGTAATTGATTTGTTTGCTGCAAAGAAAGCTAGAAAACTAAATATAATTTTGTAAAAAGATGGTAATATTTCTGTAATAGTTTTCTAATAAATATATATGATCATGTAACACAATTTTCTTTCTTTCGTTATTTTTATATTTCATGTTTTTCTACTGTTTCACCAAACCAACCCCCCTACCGAAATTGTTTTCAGGCTACGGCCTTGTTCAAGGGTAACGTACCGCTGAATACATTGCTGACGGAATCCTGTATATCTTGTTTATTCGCATCAAGCCCCCATCCTTTCGGTAGTAGCAAATTTGCATGTGCTTGTCCAAATGATATCATCCTTTTCATTGTTGTAGTAATGTCGCGTTTTTCAACAACGGCCACTTGCTCGTTACCCATTTCATAGCGAATTTCGTCGAAGAGGAAGGCGAGGGCGGTATTTGATAGGTAGCATCGCTTCTATCGTGGCATCAGATGGTGTAAACTTCCCCACGATATAAATGTAACTGTCTACAATATCGAGTATAAGATTTCGAAAATTGATTCCATCTTCTTGTAGGAGTAACATTTCCGTGTTCTGATTCGATGACTAATTTTAAAGATATAAAAATGGACCAAAACTTGTTCATATTATTCAACCTGTATTTTCGGACAGTTTTGAAGTTCCGAGATAATTTTGATTCATTTCCATGAAATATTCTCCTTATCAAAAATCAACCATCCACGAGATATTTCAGTTTCTTTTGAAAAATAAAACATGCGCATGTTCACCATAAATCTACGGGCTATGGAACTTCAATTTTGAACAGTTAAAGGAAGTTTATTAGAGCTATTCATTTGCCGTCATGGTTTTTATTGAAGACAGGATTTCAGAATTATAACGGGAGATTTAAATCTGCCGGCATTTGTGCAGTAACGTCAGCTGACAGTTTAGGATTATTAAAAATGAAGCATTGTACGATAAAGGAACGTATATTTATTATTGAGCGCGAAAATCCAAGAACATCAATTGTGTATAGTGGATAAGAATTGCAAATTTTAAGATCTCTACCCTATACACTGCTTGCTTACAAAATTCACTTCACACAATAATTGAAGCATATTGACCATTCAAAGTGAAGAGAGTACGTTGAAGGGATTATTGAACATCAACAAGTGGATGCTGATTTTTCGAGCAAAATTACCCTAATCGGTGAAGCATATTCGGAGAACCCACATGTGATTGTCGAAAAAAAATGCATTCACAACGTGTTTGGTGGGTTGGAGACCCATTTGAACATACTTTTTGAGAGTGTGGCTGATCAAGCAGTGAATGTAACTGGTACCCAATATCGCGATATGATAACACAGTTCTTTGTGCCGAAATGAGATGATATTGATCTGATCAGTATATAGTTTCAACATACAAACCATGAAAAAATTCAAATACTGCCTGAGACATTACTAGGTCGCGTACTCTCTCGTTTTGGTGATCAGAATTGACCCTCTATAGATCGTGTGATCTAACACCTCTAATGTTCTTTTTCTTGGTGCCCGTTTTATATTCATTCTACCCCAGATGTTCCAGTTTTAGCTTTTATTAACTCCACTTTGTTAAATTTGTTTCACAATGATGAAATAGGCGACCAGTTGAAAAGGTTTTACAATTGACGTTCATACGAGAATATAGGTAGTTTCAATACATGTTCAATTTAATGAACAAGTAATAAAACTACAGATGAAATTGCTATTTTCCTTCGAATTTCTTCATTTTATCGAGAACCACATCAGGAATAACTATGTATCATTCACAAAATACATAAATTGCTTCCGGTTGGTTTGGTTTATCTGCTTTACTTCTTCGAATTAATTGGAACTTATATCAAAATAAATTCAAAAACTTACCATGTGAAGATCCACAGCTTCTCTTTTCTTGAATCTTGGTTCGACCGGTTCCCTTCCTTTATACTCGACATAACGCTCTCTCAAAGTTTCTTCGTTCACCATTTCTGCCTGCTGTTGCTTCTTCTTCTTGCTGTCCCGTGTGAAGAGAGACTTCATCTGCAAAATCAGATGAGCAATACGGATTATATGGATAGAACAAGAACCCGTGAATGTCATTCTTTCGTTACTTTATAGAAGTTGACAGTTCTTCAACGCTTCAACGAAGGTAAATGAAATTGAAGCTGCAGGTACCAGGTGGCTTTAGCAGGTACCAAGGAGCAAACAAGTGAGACCCCCCGATAAATACCTTCAAACTTCAATAAACCGTTACGGTACTCACGATAAAAGCTGATTTTTATGTATGTTGATTGGCTTACTAAATGGCCGACCACACGCTTATAGCGTTGCAAACTAAAATGCAACCAACAGACAGTTCAATCATTCAATTTTCATAATGGATTCGGACGAGAAAGACGCATTTGCTGCTATCACTTCTCTTGTTCTATTTCATCAAAAAATTAAAATGAAGGAAAAATCGACAAATCGTGAACATTTTTTTACGAGGTATGATGAAAATGAAAAGTAAACAGAACATAAATGCGCTAGCTCCAGTAACAAACTGAATTGGGTATCGTTAGTTTTCAGACGCTAAGTTGAGTCAATCCTTTCAGTTGAAAATATCGAAATTACCTATATTCTTTTCAGTTCAACTATACAGTTGAGTTCAACTGAGACACACATGCACAGTTTTCAGTCACAGATATCTGCCAGTTTAACCTGTACGTGCATGGCCGGCCTTAAAAAAGGTTTTCCTGAAAGCTTAACAGTTTCTACAGCTGGACAGACAAACTCAAAGGTTGGCTGTCTAATACAATTGTAACTTTCTCTTGTATTTCTTGTTCCACTCATCCAATCAACGCTGTCATTGTTGGTTTGATTTGAACTATGGCTTTTTCGGTTTTCATTTATTACTAGATGACATTTATATTATAGAGCACATAAATGAAATCGAAAGCATATCTTGTATATCTTACATATTGGGTACGAAAGATGTGCAATAAATGATGTAACTCATTATCTCACTTGCAACCATTTGAATATATATCGTCTCGCAGGTGTTAGAACGTGGAAACTGTCCAATTAGTAAAATTACCTCTTATAGTTATTCAAATAACATACATTCATAAAATTCCGCTTTGACACTATAACGTAAGAATAGTTACAATTTATTTAAGTTGGAGGGTATTCAGCGAGAAGTTTTCACACCTTTGGTACCTGTAACCTGTCAAGGCCATGATGAGCCAAGAAAATTTCAGCTTTCATATAATCATGGTCTCGCACTGGCAAGCTAACTAACTGGAAAATTTTATCGTTCGAATGATATTGGAAAAATTCCGTAAATTTTTTGATTCAATATGCCACAAACTGCAATAGATATTTGAAAAAATACTCTTACGTATTTTCAGAATTATCGAATGCAACAATGGAAAAAAAAGAATTATAATTTTCAAAGAATCAGAAAGGAAAAACCCGTGGAAGAGAATACCCCACATTTTCTGATTAACCCCAAATTACCTTTTCGAGCCCACTTTTCTTCTCAGGTTTGGGTGGCTTCTTCTCGACTCTCTTCAAAGTGGACCGCACGATATCCTTGTCTATTTTCGGGTCATAATGCGAGCCGTCATCGATACTTCTCTCTCTGGGAATATAATCGTTCGATCTGAATTTACTTCTGTACTCCATGCTTTCCAAGTTTCGGTAGGAATCGTCTTCTCTAGAGTGAGCTCTATCTGAGTCATACTCCCGCCTCCTCCTCTGATTGAAGTTATCTTCGGTGTGCTGCCTTTCGCTAGCTATCAACAAGGAGCTCGCAAACCCCTCGTCCTCACTTTCATTGCAGTACTCCCTCCTCGGGCGCTGACGGGTAACCCTAAAGTTATCCCCAGAGTCCCTCCTGAAGTCGTTCTCGATACCAGAATCGACAAACTTATCCTTTCTCTCGTTCTCATCCATGTATCTATCGGAAGCGTATTTCGAAAAACTTGTTCTACTCTCAACTTTATCCCTCTGCAGAGAGTTGTTGCTTTCTTGGTATGACCTCAGATGTATATCAGGGGAGGATTTGTATATGGTTCTGTCTTTGAGAGAGTGTTGTTGCCTCTCGTCCCTGACTTGGTGTCTATGACTAGTTTCGAACTTCCTGTTTTCTGGCGAGGATCTGTAGTCGCTTATTTGCGAGTCGAAGCTTTTGGGTTCACTATCGAACCCGTTGCCGTAGTATCCGTTGCTCGTTTCGAAATCTAACCTGTCTTCTGCCTCTCCAAAGAACTGCATGGACCTAGATTCTGTAGTGTGTGGTTTGCCGTATTTGCCAGGCCTTGTTTCAGATACGTACTTCTCCCGGAAACCTACAGGGCTACCTGATCTACCCCTATAGTATTTCGAAGAGGTTTCGGTGACATAGATGTTCGTGGGAGTGGGGTTCTTTATGTACTCAGGGGAGGTGCGCAAGGAATTGTCGTTCAGCCTTCTGTTTATTCGCGATTCCAGCTGATCCCGTCTTGCGGTTAGATCACTGCGACCATTCAATATCGTTGTCGAAGAAAACCCATTTTCATGAGGTTCTGTCAAACTTTCGCGTCTTTTCGAGTCCATACCGTCTCCCCTTCCCCTGGAGGAGGAGTCAAAGTAGCCTGTCCGCTTGGCTCTGAAGTCTTTCTTTTCGTAGCTAGAGTAGCCGTTAGTGTACACGGGATTCCTAAACTTTGGAGTTATGGGACTTTCTTCTTCGAACTTGTCCACCTCGTCAAAGAAGTCATTCATCCTGTCATCACCAAACCGCGTAACTGGTTTTTCTATTCTGATGAATGTTTGGTTTTCTTCTCCTCCAAGACCCTCGTCCGAATCTGAATGTGGATGCTTTTTACCATTAGTGTATGCGGTATGGATGGTCTGTTTCGCTGGTCCGTTTGCATTGCCAGCGCACACCACCTGAGCGTAGATAATGGGGCTGCTCAAATTGGGATGAGTCTCGTCAGGGGCGTACTTTTCGGGGCTAACACCCCGTGTGTAAGAGAAAGGTTGGTTGTTGTTGTGTTGAACCGAGGCATGTGGCGTTATCATCACGTTTGTTTTGTGAGGAGGGGGTGAACATGAATCAGTACTGAGTCTCTTAACCATAGAGTCTACAGTTCTGCCCTTGGTGAGCGGCAGCTTGTCCACTGGCTTCTGGCTGCTGTGAATCATTTTCGGGGAGTTGTTTGGGTTTTCCAGGTGCTCTATTGCCGCTCTTACTATAGGTCCAGGACTGTTAGGAGGAGACTTCGCTACTTGGGGTTCGGCTGAGTTGCCTTTCGAAACAGCTTTGTTGATCTCGCTCTCGACTTCCTTGAGCTTGATAGCTTCATTTGTTTTGTTCTTTTTGTGGGCGATTGCTTTGAGTTTCTTTCCTAGCGCAGAGTTTTTGAACTTTTTAGATTTCGTGGATATCTTCTCTGCCTTGTCAACGTCTATTATGATTGGCTGTAGCTTCTTGACTTCTTCCGGTGGCTTCTTGACTTCTTCCGGTGGCTTAGGTCTAATGCCGGTCTCTTTGTACAACTCTTCGTCAACCTCGTCGATAAACTGTTTGAGCTTCTCGGTTATACTATCTTTCTTCTTTTTTCTGAGCGGGGCGCGAAGATTTTCGTCATCGTGAACGTTTTCTTTGTCGGTTTCTTGTTCCGGATGTGAGAAATAGTCCTCGCGTTGCGCAGTTTCTATTATCGGTGACAGCTGTTTCTTTTCTTTACGCGGTTTCACTCGTTCCGCCCCGTCACTACCAGATCTCGTTACTTTTCGGTCACTAATCACTTTCACTTTCGATTTTGTTGTCGACGCGTCACTGACACTGCGTCGCAAATTGGATTTTTTCGGTTCTGGCTTCTTTTCCCTTCGGAAAATTTCGAAAACGGAGGGTTTCTCTTGAGTAGTGCCTGTGATGAATGCTCGAGGTGGTTTTTGAGGTGCAGAGGAATCTGATGAAGTTCTTCGCTTCGAACGTCGATCCAAAGAACCGGAGAAGGGCTCCTGGTTTTTGTGTTTTTTTCGATTTGGTAAAGTGTAGAATTTTTCCGGAAGGACACCTGAAACAAACAAAACAAGACATCAAGTCTTTGCTTCCGTATTCTTTTAAGTAAGAGATTATCAAACAACTGAATACTTAGGAATACTTGAAGCACTGTATATTGTGAAATAATTCTAAAAGGTTGAACGAATGGAGATACAAACCTTTCATTGGAAACCTTTTTTTTAATAACTCCACCTCGAAATTCAGATTCATAGGATGAAATCGTCTACTATAAAGTGATAAAAGTAATGAATATGCGTTTAGTGCATTCAACATTTTTTTCTGAATCATCCACTTCACGTGAAAAAAGCCAACAAAATATATTTCTGAAAGGAAATGGTTGGTTTTTCAAATATACAGGTGGAAGGTTTCAGGGCAGAGTCCTGCAGAACAATCTATGATATATTAGTATGATCTGAAATGATATCAAACATGCTGGGATTTATGTGTCATTTACTCAGTAGAATTATTGGAGATATAAAGTTGAAATACTACATACTGAATGTCTTAATAGCATGTACATGAGAAAAATGTCGTTAAAAACTCTGCCATTGAATTTTTGTATACTTGTTAACAAATTACTCCATAGCTTCTCTATATGAAAATGATTCAATATTTATTTTCTTCGAAAGCGATAATCAAAATTGAACAGGAATTTTATATTATTAAATTGATTTTGATTTTTGTAAAAATGTGCTATAAAAATTTATTTCAATTCAATTATTGAACATTAAACCACCAACACGCATACGTAGAATGAGGACCCAAGAAAATATCGCAGCTGTATCCGCCAGTGTTCTTGATGACCGTGAAATGTCGATTCGCCGCCGTTCGCAGCAATTGGGCCTCTGTTACTCGACTACGTGGAAAATTTTGCGAAAGGATTTGGGTGTTAAACCTTACAAGATACAGGTACTGCAAGAATTGAAGCCACACGGCCTCCCATAACGTCTAACATTTGGTGAATGGGCGCTGGCAAAGCTGGAGGAAGATCCACATTTTTATCGAAACATTGTGTTCAGCGACGAGGCTCATTTCTGGTTCAATGGATACGTTAACAAGCAAAATTGACGCATTTGGAGTGAAGACCAGCCACAAGTATTGCAAGAGTTACCGATGCATCCCGAAAAAGTCACTGTTTGGTGTGGATTATGGGTCGGTGGCATCATATGGGTCGTTACTGTGAATGGCGAGTGCTACCGTGTGATGATTGACGATTTTTTATTGCTCAAAATGGAAGAATTGGACATGCCTCACATGTGGTTTCAACAAGACGGTGCCACATGCCACACGGCACGCGAAACAATGGCCCAATTAAGAGCCGCCTTCGGTGAACAGTTTATCTCGGCCCGTCAATTGGCCGCCTAGATTGTATGATTAAAGGCCTTTGGATTATTTTTTGTGGGGTCATGTTAGGGCTCATGTCTACAGGGATAAATCAGCAACGACTGAGGCTCTGGAAGCCAATATTGAAGCATTTATACGTGAAATACCGGTCGATATGTTAGAGAGAGTGTGCCAAAATTAGACCTTGAGCATGGGCCATCTAAAGCGTAGCCGAGGACAACATTTGCATGAAATCATCTTCAAATATTGAATTATATTGATCGTTTTATCGATTCCAATAAAGATTTCATAAATTTTTTCAAATTTTTTGTGTTGTCTTGAAAATCAAATCCTATACCTTTTAAAAAATCACCCATTATAATATAACTAAGTGACAAAGAAAGGCAAATAACCGTTTATACTGAATATATTTCAATAATTTTTCACTTACATACTTGGCAGATAATAACACACAAACGAGTAAGTTTTCAGAAAAACTGGATGATCGTGAATCCAGTGAAATTCAGTACTGTGTTGCAGATCCTCGATGTCTTGTACACTCGTGGACACGTCTGGGCATTGTCCTGATAAGGTGGTCTATATCCTGTTGTGGGTATCTCATTCCACCCTACTTCTAACTAACGTCTAAGTGCTGCCAAAGTCTGTGGGGGCTGTTTTAAATTCAGCAGTCTGCGATCAAGAATATCCCATACATGTTCGATAGATGAAAGATCGGGCGATCAGGGTGGCCATGTTAAGCGGTTAATGTTATGCTAATCCATGAAGTCTAGAGTTAGTCTAGTCACATGCGGTTTAGCGCTGTCTTGTTGAAATATGGGGTTTTCGATGGTCTCAAAATATGGAAGGACATGAGGCTCCACTACGTCGTGAATGTAACGAAGAGCTGTCATTTTGCCTCTAGTAAAGACTAATGGTGTCCTGCTACAATATGTAATGGCACCCCATACCACTAAACGAAAAGTATAGTGAACATGCCTCCCCACATCAAACTGGGGATCTCGTCTTTCACCAGGACGCCCTCTTAGTTTTGTTCGTCCATCGTGCATACCCAAACAAAAGCGAGATTCATCGCTGAAGACTACGCAGTTCCACTGTTGACCCCAATTTATTCTGTCTCTGCACCAGTGCAATCGGTTGCATCGATGCTCGAGAGTTAATGGCAACACCCAATGGGGATGATGAGAAAAAAGTCTCAAACATATTATTCGCCGATATACTGGGCGTATTCCAACAAACCTTTCGTGTTCTTCAAATCAGTGATTCTCAATTGCCCTAGTAGAAATGAACCGATCCCCTGCGACGACCGGTGCCCCTAGCTCAGTTTTCTTGGTCTTCTTGGGTCCATGCCTGATAACATCTTGGCATAGTACGCAAAGATCGATTGTTTCTTCTTGAAATTTCTTTTATTGAAAAACTCACCTCACGTAAGCCAACAATTCGTCCTCTCTCAAAATCACTAACTTAAGGAATACGATGAAATCTTCGCACTCGAGGCATAGTGTCAACAATACAAAACACTCTATAACAAACTCTTCAACAGTTAAAGAACAAATTAGAATAAACATTGGAGAAACGGTAAATGCTCACACAAAAACAGTTGAAAAACTGGTCAGAATAGCTTCCGATACGGCTGAAATTTCACTGGCTTTTTACCGGCCTCAACATAAATACACATGCAAAACATCATTGAAATATTTTCAATATAAATGTCACTTAGTATATAATGATTATTCCAAATAGTTGAGGAAAAGCTCAGCGAGCTACTTATGTATACCAAGAAGAACATTCGTAAAGTTTTGGAATTACTAAAAAATAACTTGCCCTTATGATGGACCCAAGCATTTCATTTGTTTTTTTCAGCAACTTGACATGTATGCCTATTAAAAATCAATTCAGAGTCAAATATTATTCCCAAATCCTTTACTTCGTTACATATTTGGAGATAATAGTTTCCTACTGTAAAGTCAAAATGTGATGGATTGGATGAAGCGCATTATTTTCCCATTTTCACATTAATAAATCTTCCTCTCAGAAGAATGTTTCATACATAGAGTGAAGCCGCGTTGAAGTCAGTCGAGTTGTTTGGGTCGGCTCTTCCCTGCACTAATGAGAGGTAATACCTCGAAACTGGTCCATAGGTGATCTAATCGATTGATTTCAGCGTGGTCCTGCTGCTGAATGAATTATTATTATTATTATTATTATTATTATTACATATAAATAAAGGCTGAGGACAAAGTCCTATGTGAGCCTGAAACCGAAAGATATCAACAAGTTAATACAATCCATGCAAAAAGAAAAAAAAATATATGCATAGCGCCGATTAAGCAAATAAGCAAATGTCTATTTTGTTTTTGAAACTGTTCACTGAGTCGGAATTCATAACATCGTTGGGTAAGTTATTCCATGTTTCGAAAATACGATTCACCAAAAAACATTGTCTCTGCCTCGTTGCGAATTTTTCCTTTTTTAATTTGAGTGTGTGACCACGTAACCGCGAATCATTGTTCAAAACAAAAAGTTCTTTCTGATAAGCATAGTTAAACTTAGCTATACGGAAAGATATGATGAGGTCCCCACGGAGTCGACGTTGGTTGGTAGGTTGGACGCACTTCACCAAAAGTCATACGTGTGGCTCGACGCTGTACATTTTCCAACAAGTCCCTATCGCGCACCAGAACAGGACACCACACTGGACCTGCATACTGCATGATTAGACGAACGTAGGTTTTGTAGAGTTTTATGGAACTTGAATATGATAGATGGAGGAACGTTTTGCGGATGAGGTAAATCAGTGTGTTTGGGCGTTTGCATGTGGATATTATATGTTCGGACCAAGTTAAGTCGGTATTAATAGTCACTCCCAAGTCTACATGTGAGGACACTGTACGTAATGATTGACCGCTTATTGTGTACGTATGGAGTGGATTGTTCTTTCTTTGATGAAGTTCGATGCATTTGTCGACGTTAAGAGGTAGAAGCCAATCCTCGAACCACTGACTAATCGAGTTGAGGTCTTCTTGAAGGGAATGATGTTCGACTAAGGCATTTCCATACAGTTTAGTATCATCGGCATAGAACGACTTGCTGGACTTTATGTGAAGAGCAAGATCACTTGCATAAACAACGAAGAGTAGTGGGCCAAGAACAGATCCCTGAGGAACTCCACTTGTGACTTGTCTGTGCGAAGAAAAAGAGTGACCCACTTTGACTGAGAAAGTTCTATCTGTCATGTAACTTTCAATCCATAGGTTTAGATGGCCTCGAATACCGTGTGTGTCAAGTTTGTGCATTAGACTCCTCACTGGCTAATCCAATCGTTCATGCATTGTAGTAGATTGCGTTTTTTGTTAAAAAGGATAAAAGACTTATGGACCTGTAGTTAATTGGATTAAGTTTATCGCCTTTTTTGAAAATAGCGGTGACAGATGCCTTCTTCCAAGCCCGTGGGATGCGAAATTCTGTGAAAGAGACTGATATAATTGTTGACAACGGAGAGCAGAGAGTTTCGGCAAACTTTTTGAGAAAAAAGGGGCTCATTCCATCCAAACAAGGAGATGAATTCGATTTGATGTTCAATAAACTATTTTTAAATTTTTCCGAAGTGAACGACACATTAGTCAGATTATCACGTAGTCGTTCTGATATAATTTTTGGTAATTGGTCATC